CAAGCCAGGAGCAGAAGCTAAGAAGAACCAACAGAAAGAGAAAGCCTTTCCTTGTGGCCGGCTCTGATTTCAGACAGTGTCGGCGGTTCAAACCCACCAGCTGCCTCAGGAGAAAGATAGGACTTTCTATTCTCATAAACGGTTACAATCTCAGAAACTCACAGGGGCAATTCTACCCTGTCCTATAGGGGTCGCTATAAGTCTGAGTCAGCGTCAACTCAATGGCAGTAAGTTTGGTTTTTGGAGGACCTGTGGTGGGGTAGTGGTTACACATTTGGCTGAGATCTGTAAGGCCAGCCACTCCTTGGGAGAAAGACTGCGCTTTCTACTCCCATTAAGAGTTACAATTCCAGAAACTCAAAGGGGCAGTTCTACCCTGTCCTGTAGGATCACTATGAGTGGGCTAGACTCGAGAGCAATGCGTTAGGAAGCTAGGAGGAGCTCTTTAGGCTGCTAACCACAAGGTCAGTAGTTTAAAACCATGAGCCGCTCAGCGGGAGAAAGATGAGACTCTCTACTCCCATAAAGTGTTATGGCCTCAGGTGATACCAAGGGCTCAGGTAGAGAGGAAATGTTTTGAAAATGATGATGGCAACATATGTACAAATGTGCTTGACACAATGGATGGATGGATGGGTTGTGATAAGAGCTGTAAGATCCCCCAATAAAAGGATTAAAAAAGAAAAATAGGAAAATAAAAGAGTGATGGTATCAGAAACCCACAGGGGCAGTTCTAGCCTGTCCTGTAGGGTTGCTATGAATTGGCATCGACCCAATGGCCGTGAGTGAGGAACTGTGCGCCTGTGTGTCTTGTTAAAGTTGTCCGTCTCAGGGTAGTGTTGGATGACTAAGACAGCAATTACACAGGCTTCTGGCTCACTCTAGGCTTGTGGAAAACCGTGGCTCCCCGGCAGCTTCATTTCACTGAAGGCCCTGCCATCATCTTCCTCTTCCTCCAGCTCTCTGCCCTCATTACCACGTCTTCGCCAAACATCTTCCAGCCACAGAGAGGCCTTGGCACTGTTTAGAATGCGTGACAGCGCCAGGGAATGCACAACACTTGGGACCGGCAGGCAATTGGCTCACATGTGCCAAGAGGCTAAACAGGCGTCGGTGGCTCGGAGCTACGATTACACCTATGGTCGTCTGTTCTAAGGAAGTCCTTCTGTGTGCAGGAAAAGCTTCAGTGCGTGAGAACATTCATTCCTGTGTTCTTTATAGTAGTGGAAACCCAAAAGTAGATGCCTGAGTTAGTTAATTGTGCCAACCTGGCCGATAAACACATGTGGGGCTAATTGAAAGGCGGTGGGATAAATGGGTGGTGAGCCTCGTCTTTCTAGTTCTCGGGTCTCTTGCTTTGTGATGGGCGCACCAGGGTGCAGCTGCCTTAGCAGTTCCCTGCTTCAGCTTGCAAGATTGACTTCCTACAAGACATCCCCAAGGAGAAGCCACA